GGGAGGGAGAAAAATCGCCCCCTCCCCTCTCCGCAGGAGACCGCCCTGGATTCGATTAAAGCAGGAATACCTCCAGGTGATAAAGTAACGATCAAAGCAACTTCTCGAATTTGATTTTGCATAAATAAGGATAACTTCAACACCAAAATGCTCAATACCGACCCTTTAAAGGGGGGAAATTGCAAAAAACTGCTTATTTTTTTGCGAGAGCCCTTTCTTTCGTCCGTTTTCACTGGCGTAGTTATGTGATTTTTTTGAAAAAATTGCCCTGATCAGTTACTTTTCTCAAAATGCTTTAAAAAAAAAAAAAAAAAAAAACAACACAGATTGCGCACGACGACGAAAAAAGCTAAAGAGACATACTACTGTTCTCGGGCTGCGTATCAAACATAAGCCCCGAAGCATACCAGACCTTAAAATCAGCACTGAATTTTTTTTATAAAATAACTTCTATAAATAACTATTACCCGAAGTGCCAGTACCAGTGGCAAGCGACAAGGCGAACATCAATTCGTGGCGCAAATCGCCGATCTGTCGCTGATACACATCATTTTGGTGAACCAGAAAATCATTACGGGCTTTTAGCTTCAACAGGTCTTTTTCCAGCTTAATTCTTTCATCTACAAACTGAAAATTCATTCCTTTATAATAGTAGAATAGAAGGATTGGACTTAAGTGTCTGGTGTAACAGAAGATATTTTACGCGATGCAGTCTGTCTGTGTGTTTCATCCCTTAGCTATAAACACTGGCTGAACTTTGCATGCGAGTAGGAGCGGGAATCGAAGTATGCGTTCGGTAAAAGCGCAGCTCTCCAGTTCTACCAAATTATATAGAACTAAATTACTAGTCACAGAAAACGAAAACGTGTGACTGACTGTAATTCGACTACAATTTCTTTCATAAAATACCTCAAAAAACATTGAGTTTCCTTTCGAAGCTGCTTTTGTGGTACTGCGACACTCGTTCATCTCCACTGTTAAATCGTTACAACGTTTGCGCAACTCCTGCAACCAGTAAAATTTGGATCAACAGAATCCAGAAAAAGCCAATTTCAAGACGAAATTAGAAAAAAAAAAATCCAAGATCAGAGTTAAGATCCGAATACCTACGATTTCTGAATCTCAGGATAGTAATTAATCATCGCTGATAAATGCGTGCTGAAGGAAAATTTTGCTTTTAGTGCAATTTCTTG